ACTTAAAATGGTACCTTATACATATAGAAAGTAGAATTAATTATTTAATCTCGTCTGTCACAAATGTCTGGGTTTAGATTTGATCTATTCCATTAGCATTTTAGACAGTCTATCCAACCCCCGTTCTCCTTATCACTTGGTTTGTTTATACTATGCATTCCTTTAGCTCTGGCAAAGTGGTTAGTTTTACAGATAGAAATCTTGTGTCTTTTTGTTAACTTGAAACTAACAAAATGGAGTCTGCTCTGTTCAAAGTGACTCAGAATATACACTTTTAATTTCTATCATAGCACAAGATGTCTGCCGATATAAATACCCTGACAATAATAAGGCTAGAAACACTGAGAGGATGTCCCTAGATAACCCTACATCTATAATGGATAGAAGGACCACAACCTGTACCTGTTCACCTACGCCCACAGAGACACATGACAAGATTTTATGCCTGCTATATAGCTGGGAACTCAATTCATCCTTCAACAAAGTAAATTCAGTATCCGTACTAAGGAGATTCTCCAAAATAAAGGTCCTATCTTCTCTACAGTATTTAACAAATCCTATGATGATATCATAGGTATCCTATAGAACCATTGGTCTGTTTTAATATTAGACCCTTGATTGAAATTCAGTCTCTCCAGCAATCCTAGGGTGACTTTTAGGAGAAATAAAAACATAAAAAATATTTTGGCTCCATACAAATTCAAGCCCTATGAAGGTTCAAATCCGAATCAGAACCATAACATGGGCAATTTTAGATGTGGGGGTACCAGATGCATAACTTTTAAGTACCTATGTCAAGGGTTCAGGCAGTTTGGACACACATTAGGTGAGGAGGAACATGTTATCCGACAGAGGATAAATTGCAATACTTATTTTTTGGTCTATTTACTCACCTGTACTTGAGGGCTCAATTATGGAGGGCAAACCATGAGACCTTTCAAGAATAGGTTTAGGGAACATAGACTGGCCATACTACACAAAGCCAAGAAATCCCCGGTAGCACGCCACTTTCAATTAGCCCATGATAGTGATCCGTCTTATATCTCTATTATTGGCATAGAAGTTATAGGCCAATTTCCTGATACAGCCAAACGAAAAAGACATCTCAATATGGCTGAAACCAAATGGATTTTTAAACAAAGCCCACTTAAACCATATGGACTAAATGAGGAGATAACCTGGTCTATCTAATTATCATCTATCCATAACTCTGTTGTTGGTAGAATAATGTTTCCCTATTTGATATCCCCCACACCATAACCACTTATTGTATGCCTACATATATTAGAGTGAATATATATATATATATACCCTGGGGGCTAATCGGTATACGCTCCCCCTTATAAGGATACTTTATGCTGGTCCTTTTCATGTAGTTTTAGTATGACATAATATTCTGATTTCTCATACATATTTTTATACTATATTACATATACATTTTTAATACTTCCTTTTGTTTGCTATATTGTTTATGGTTTATTATCTGAGTACTATATATTTCTTAGGTGGTCATTTATCTTTTATTAGTTTATCTTTGGTAACATATTGTACTTATGATTTATGTTTATTAGTGACTAATAGAGATTTGGAAGAATCCAGTCCTGGTTTTTCATTAATTTAATTTATTGCCCAGCCCTTGATGGTATATAAGCTGGGTATCAGTGATTTTGGACATCAGTCTTGATAAAGTCTCCACAGGAGACGAAACGCGTTCAGATGTTTGTCCCACTTTTAGCCTTTATTGAAAATGGTACTGTTTCTTTAAGGCGGGTGCGGCCTTTTTTGACGCTACCGGCTGCGGCTCACCACGAGACTTCAGCTGCGTGTGCTCCCCTGCTTCGACCTTGGTAAGTGTTGTTGTTTGTGTCTCGTACTGTGGATCTGTCAGAAGATTCAAGGTAAGGTCCGGGTGGTTGAGCTCGCTGAGGATCTTATTCATCATTGTCATCCCTGCACTTTAGTTATCTACAACATTTTGGACCAGTGGAGGGGCCCCCCGCAATTCAGGATTTGTTCTGATAGATCACCTTGTACTTTCTCAGCAGGTTCATTTCTTATTTTATTGTGCATGTGTTTTTATTTGGTATATCCCTTTGGGTAACCACTGTTATCTATATCCCGTTGTGCTGGTTAGATGTCAGCGTTCCTCAGAGATCACTATTTAGTGTTTGTGTTTATCTTAGGGGTATTCTAGTAACAGTTGTTTTTTCTACGGCATTGTGATAAGGAACAGCCCTACCATAACCACTACCTTTTAGAGAACGTTGCTTTTTATGTCTTATATTGATCCTTCTTATACTCCACTGATACTTCGTAGCTGAGTGTTGGTTTTGACCGTGTGGGATCTTAGTCATTCATATTTATTTGTATTACGGCATTGGGATTTGAGAGACCCTATTTATTATTGTTGATATAAAAATTATTTTATGTATGAGAGTATGGTTTTATACTGTGTTTTTGTGCTATTGATTCATTTGTACATTAAATACTGATATACTTTTTAAGCATAACTCGGTTCTTATGTGATTTGATAATACTACAGCGAATTTACTGCTAATAAGTTACTGGTATCTTTATAGATATTAAATACTGATATATCTTATATTCTGAATTTGTCCTCAGCCGCTCACGTATACTCTATATTTAGATTTTTCCATTACTAATACGCTCCATTATGTGAAGCAGCCAACTCATACCTAATCCTTTCCCCATTGCATGTGACCACTCTTACAGTTGTCTATTCCACAAACACTACAATGCCCCTGGTAAGTCAATGGCACTTAGAATGTCTCTTTAAACACCTCCCCTTAACTTCTACACTACCCTCACACTTAAACTACTCCGGACTCTTACACTAAAGCTAGTCCTAACACTAATGTTAACTCTAACGCACTAAATATAAGGAAAATACCGCTATCCCGGCCCCCTGGTTTATTACGATATCTGCAGAACCTTTTGATGGCATTGATGGACAGAATGAAAGCTTGCCAAGGTGGTATGGGGATATAATTATTATATATCTGTCTATGTAGGTGTGTTACATTCCACAGCAAATGGAAAATCAGGGAACAAATTATCTCTGGCACTCCATCAGAAAAAAAACACAATTAAATAGTAAAATAATAATAATTACATTTATAGGAATTATATGCATGAGCAATATGTGTAATTATGCATTCTTCAACCCTCTGTTTTGTCTCCAGAACCTCTCAATGGCATTATATGCTCATGATAGATAGACAGATAGTAACAATGGACAAAAGGTTATATAGGTGGTGCTCAAAGAAATAAAACGGTACGTTGTCACTAAAATATACTTAGATATACAGTGAGAAATAGAGTGGAAAGGGTGATAAACGCACACAAAACTGAAGAGGGAAATACCTCATATACAGATTCTTCTTACAATGTATAACAGAAATATTCCTTACAATGTACTTCTCTTTATAAATCAAAGAGACAGAGTTTCTTTTATCCTATATTGGATGAAATAGAAAACAAAAATACATAGCGTAACCTGTATGAGATATATATGGTTTTGTAAATATAGTGGATAAACTCACACTTTTCAGAGCCAATTAGAACTAGGCTCAGGACTTGTACACATATCTTCTCAAACAGAGATATTGGATGAAGCTGTAGGTGATTGGAACTCCCAGGAATTCAGGAACCTGATAATGTAATCAAAAATCAGGAACTCCAAGATTCGAGGTGGAAGTTAAAATAATGAATATTTGTTAATAGCAAAAAAACACAACGCGTTTCAACCATACAATGGGTCTTCCTCAGGTGTTAATACATATGCTGCTATAATCAAAACATATATATACATATATATGCATATCAATTAAACAATTAATCACACATGTTTAATACAAACACTCCCATCACCAAATATGGTTCGAACCGGAAACGCACACTGCCCCCCCAGTATGGCGACGTTTCCGGTTTGGATATAGATCACCACCATCTTGGTGGTCCAAAGGACTCACACACAAAAGTATAATCACAAATTATTATAAGACAATCATAACCATTTCTCAATAACTATAGAATAAAAAAAAGAGGGATTTTCTCTCTTTCACAGTCTTCAAAGCCGGGATAATACTTTCGTTTCTGTGAATTTTTGGATCTCTAATTGAAATCCGATACATCATTTCCTATGACACATCGGCTCTGTATGCTGAAGGTCCGATACGTCACTTTCTGTGACGTCTTGACTCCGAAAAGTCCACCTCTTCCAGATTATCGTCCACACAGATGCACATAAGTTCTATGATGTTTAAGTAAGTCCGAAGTCATTGGCACCATTAGTAAAAGGGTATATTTTCCCCAGCATTGTAAAGGGGAAAGAGGGCAAGAGAAAAAATATCAGGATTACAAATAATAAGAACATACAACGTTAAGTGCATATTGTGTACATAATAAAAACACATATTAAGAAAAAATAGTAAGACAGTGTCCCTCGGAACGGGGCAGTAAAAGGAATAAACGAAGATAAAAATGTTTATAAAATATGGTTAATTTCAAAATCGATGTTTAGTCCCTTTGGGGTCAAATTGCGTAGCTCGAATATCTATTTAGATTCCTGTATACTTAATTGTTTGGCAATATCCTTCCCCCTCCAATGTTTTTTTTTTTTTTTAAATTCTTTATTTTTATCGTGCTTTGAGTAAATAACATACACGCTCGTGGTGCCCCAATAGCATTCCCCGAGCATAATTTTCAGGCATAACAGTTGGAGCATTGAGATTATCAGCACATTTTGAAATGTTAAAGTAATGTTGCTTAGATCAGAATGTTAGTAAGTACGAGTTACATTAGCATGGGTTATGATTACAAGAAGTTAATTAATATGTCTGACTTCGGTTAATAGCATGCTGAATAGAACCTCATCCTAACTAGCTAATAAATTGCTTGGGGTCTGTAGCTGGGTGTGTAATTAGTGCAATTATATGATAAGCAGGTAAGTGTACAGACGTTTTAATACAAGTATCTTAGCTAGGGCTATTATTCAGATAAAGTAAAGTAAAATGCAGTAAAAGAAAGTAGAATAGAGTACAATAGAGTACCATCAGGCAGATCATGGCACATAGGGTTATCCACTGCAAGAGTCAGGGTGTTAGAGACCGTTGTGTATTGCAGGTTTGACTGTAACATTATTAGAATATATGTCCCTCCATGTAGCGGTGAATGCTGCCAGAGTGTCCCTTGGTGAGGCTGCCTGCGGTGAGTTCTGCGGTTTGTGCCTTTTATGTCTTCCGTTTGCTTACTTTATGGAAGCTTATTAGTAGGCATCCTCTTCTTAGGCATGGGGATACACCCCGCAGGTCTCTCCAAGTCCACCGGACACGCTGCAGGGCACAGTGTCCGGAGGTCGATGCGGTCGTGTGACCCCGTCGTGGGGTGAGTGCAGGTCCTGTGCTGACCAGATCACCTTGTCCAGGTGCGGGTAGCGGTGCGACCTAGCTGTTACAAGGGGACAGCTTTTCAAGGGGACAGCTTTTCAGTGCCTTACCCCAGTGATGGTCTGCGGTCTTGGTGGTAGGAGGCTGAGGTAAGGTGTTCTCAGTTGGCGCGGTCTGCGCGGCTCTTCTCCAGTGGCCTGTGGGGCAGTTACAGCACGTTCGGCCATTTTGTTGAGGCCGCGTGGCAGTCGTCGCCCAGGAGTGCCTTGTGGGTGTTTGCTTGCCTGGTGGGGACCGGGATAACCCCCACCGGTCCAAAGGGGGGGGTGAACGGGGCCGAGAGTGCTCCAGTCGCGTTGTGGTTTTCTGCAGCCGGGGGGAAAAGCAAAGCAGCGGCCGTCTGCTCCACCCCCCCCCCCCCCAGGTAGGCCTCAGTCTCCAAGCCCCAGAGCATCTCACCGGGACCCAGAACCACCCAATGTCAGGTGCTCTAGCTGCACCGGGACACTCCAGGATCTTGTACCACGGATTTCCAGGGTGTATCAAGCTGAGTTGAGAGGGGATTTGCCCGATTTTAGCTAAATTCCTCAGGAGCCATAGTGACTTGCAGCCTGCTAGCATGGCCGCCCGGCCCCGCCCCCCCCTCCAATGTTTTTTAACTTTATCAATGGCACAAAACTCTGTTTCCCGGATCTGACACATGTATCTCTAGAAAATGCCTAGAGGCACTATGGTTAAGAAAGCCTTTTTTTGATGTTCCTCACGTACTCCCTTATTCTTACTTTAATGGATCTAGAGGTCTTTCCTATATATTGTAACCCACAGTTACACCACAATAAATCAATAACATTGTTAGAACGACATGTGATAAGCAATTTTATTTTATATTCTTTGTCGGTTGTTTTCGAATGGACGGAAAAAATATTTTTATTAGATATTCTAGTATTTCGACATGCATTGTACATCCCACAATGAAAAAAGCCTTTCTGTTCCTGTGACCAGCTTGTTAAAAAATTCCTCGGAACATCATCTCTTATAAAACATCTAGTTAAAATTTGTTTTAAATTTCATGCACCTCTAAAAATAAAATTAATCTCTGCTTCTTTATATTTATTAGATGAGTTTAAATAAAACTCTACAGCCTCACAGCCTTTTTCATGTGCTATGATAGTATATAGGCTGGTGACATCACAAGTTATTAAAAGGTACTCCTCATTCCATATAAAATTATTTAAAATATTTAAAAGACTCATAGAGTCCTGTAAAAAAGATGGAATTGTTTTCACCAGGGGTTGTAGGTGGAAATCAATATATTGAGACAAGGGAGAAAGGACAGAATTAATTTCAGATATAAAGGACAGAATTGATTCCAGATGTCTGGAATCAATTCTGTCCTTTCTCCCTTGTCTCAATATATTGATTTCCACCTACAACCCCTGGTAAAAACAATTCCATCTTTTTTACAGGACTCTATGGGTCCTTTAAATATTTTAAATAATTTTATATGGAATGAGGAATACCTTTTAATAACTTGTGATGTCACCAGCCTATATATGATCAAAGCACATGAAAGAGGCTGTAGAGTTTTATTTAAATTCATCTAATAAATATAAATAAGCACAGAAGAATTTTATTTTAGAGGGGATTAATATGATTTTAAAAAATAATTCTGGTTTGAAGATTTCTTTTTACAAATAAAGGGTACAGCTATGGGGACCAACTTGTTTATGGCATATTGGGAGAAATGTTTTATTTACCAAGGACAAGAGGCATAAACTTGGTCCTATATAAAAGATATATAGATGACATTTTTATTGTTTGGATAGGATCTAGTGAATCTTTTAATAATTTTTAAAATTATATTAATATTACTAATTGGGGGGTCCTTATTACTCATAGTATTAGTGATTCAAGTATTAATTTATTTTTTAGATCTTAATATTTATGTTTCTAACAATAACGTGATGACTCAAACCTTTTTTAAGTTAATGGATGTCAACAGTTATATTGAACTTGACAGCTGCCACCACCGCCCCTGGTTATTGAATATACCCAAAGGACAGTTTTTTGAGAATCCGCAGAAACTGTACTAACCAGGAAGATTTTTTCTATCCAGTCTGATGTTTTAAGAAAACAATTCATTCAAAAAGGATACAGTAATCTACAAAATGGCATAGACACAATTGCCACTTTAGATAGATCCCCTTTACTTCGGTAAGAAAGAGAATGTCCAAATTCCTTTTATTTTAAATTTTTCTAGCAATGTGGGCACAATTAAAAAAATAATAAATAAAAATTGGCATATCCCCCAACAAGAGGAAAATATATATGAATATGTTGGACAGAAACCGAATTTTATATTTAGAGGTGCAAGAAATTTAAAACAAATTTTAACTAGAAGTTTTATAAGAGATGATGTTCCGAGGAATTTTTTAACAAGCTGGTCACAGGAACAGAAAGGCTTTTTTCATTGTGGGATGTGCAATGCATGTCGAAATACTAGAATATCTAATAAAAATATTTTTTCCGTCCATTCGAAAACAACCAACAAAGAATATAAAATAAAATCGCTTATCACATGTCGTTCTAGCAATGTTATTTATTTATTGTGGTGTAACTGTGGGTTACAATATATAGGAAAGACCTCTAGACCCATTAAAGTAAGAATAAGTGAGTACATGAGGAACATCAAAAAGGCTTTCTTAACCATAGTGCCTCTAGGCATTTTCTAGAGAAACATATGTCAGATTCGGGACACTTAAAGTTTTGTGCCATTGATAAAGTTAAGAAATATTGGAGAGGTGGGGTTATTGCCAAACAATTAAGTATACAGGAATCTAAATGGGTATTCGAGCTACGCACTTTGACCCCAAAGGGACTAAACATCGATTTTTGAAATTAACCATATTTTATAAACATATTTTTATCTTCGTTTATTCCTTTTACTCCCCCTTTCCTCCCTTTTTTTCTTATTCTATCCTCTTAGCACGTTTTTAAAGTTTTTTATCCTGAGCTCTTATGGGACACTGTCTTACTATTTTTTCTTAATATGTGTTTTTATTATGTACACAATATGCACTTAACTTTGTATGTTCTTATTATTTTTTAATACTGATATTTTTTTCTCTTGCCCTCTTTCTCCTTTACAATGCTGGGGAAAATATACCCTTTTACTAATGGTGCCAATGACTTCGGACTTACTTAAACATCATAAAACTTATGTGCATCTGTGTGGACGATAATCTGGAAGAGGTGGACTTTCGGAGGGAACACATCACAGGAAGTGACGTATCGGACCTTCAGCATACATACCCGATGCGTCATTCACAGAAACGAAAGTATTTGAAGACTGTGAAAGAAAGAAAATCCCTCTTTTTTATTCTATAGTTATTGAGAAATGGTTATGATTGTCTTATAATAATTTGTGATTATACTTTTGTGTGTAAGTCCTTTGGACCAACAAGATGGTGGTGATCTATATCCAAACCAGAAACGTCGCCATATTGGGGGTGGCAGTGTGCGTTTCTGGTTCGGACCATATTTGGTGATGGGAGTGTTTGTATTGAACATGTGTGATTAATTGATATGCATATATATATATATATATATATATATATATATGTGTATATATATATATATATAATGTTTTGATTATAGCAGCATATGTATTAGCACCTGAGGAAGACCCATTGTATGGTTGAAACATGTTGTGTTTTTTTGCTATTAATAAATATTCATTATTTTAACTTCCACTCCAAATCTTGGAGTTCCTGATTTTTGATTACATTATCAGGTTCCTGAATTCCTGGGAGTTCCAATCACCTACAGCTTCATCCAATATCTCTGTTTGAGAAGATATGCGCTACAAGTTCTGAGCCTTGTTCTAATTGGCTCTGAAAAGTGTGAGTTTATCCACTATATTTACAAAACCATATATATCTCATACAGGTTACGCTATGTATTTTTGTTTTCTATTTCATCCAATATAGGATAAAATAAACTGTCTCTTTGATTTATAAAGAGAAGTACATTGTAAGGAATATTTCTGTTATACATTGTAAGAAGAATCTGTATATGAGGTATTTCTCTCTCTCAGTTTTGTGTGCGTTTATCACCCTTTCCACTTTATTTCACAGATAGACAGATTTAATTTTTTTATTTTTATTTTTTTTTACTTACTCACAAATTCTTCACTCTTTGTAAACAAACTCTTAATCTCGTTTTATCTCAAGAAACAAATTATATTTCTCACCAATTAAATGTAATTTCCCTATAGCTAATATCCTCCACCTGAGATGGGACTCCCAAAAGGCCAATCAAGTTGAATTTTACCGTCTATACCTCTCTGGAGACAATCTTCTACCTCCAAACTTAGCTACACCACCTGTACAGGTAATTCTCCAGATGGTGCGTCTTGTGAAGTGACTCTTTATTTAAGTGTTTATTTACTCCATCATATATAACGCATACAGTACCTTGCTTTAATGATGTTTAATTCTGTTTATAATTTTATTTTTTTTGCAGATTTTTTTTAATTAAAAAGAAATAAAAGATTTGTAACTAAACTGCACTTTCTGTGATTTTGTCTGTAGAAGAAATATTCTATATTCAGGCATAAATGGCGCACTATAATAGAGAAGTAATGAGAATTTAAGGTGAATGTAAAATGTTAAGCTAAAATAGTTGAACTGAAAACAGAACTGACTTTTTCCACTTTGGAGATTTTTATTTATTGTGTGTGCAATAAAAAAAATAAACTAAAGGTTTTAACTTACCTGAGATATCTTGAAGGAGACAGGGCTTCCTCCAGTGAGGTCCAAGCCAATTCTCCTTATAGAGGAGCATTGCTAATCCGATGCACATGCGCAGTGAGCACTGCATGCACATCCAAACTTTCTCATAGGCAACACTGAATCAATGCTTTCCTAAGGGAACTTCTGTGTCACGTGACCGAGATTTCTTGGTCATTGCAGCAGAAGTGCCTCCCGTGGCTGTCAGTGTAATAGCCACAAGAGGTGTGATATTGTTTAACCCTTCGATGTAAACCTTTTTTTTTAACCTTAAATGGTTAAATTAACAGGACTTTAGGGGTCCTTCAAATTATACTCATTTGTTGCATTGAGCAGTTACAGGACTTAGATTCCTGGGGGAAAAAAACTCTCTGTATTGATAGAATTGCCTCATTGATAATTAACCTACTCCCCTGGTTTCTTTAATTGTTATTACACTGTCAATACTTTCCATGAAATACTATGAAACATTTTTAAGCTAGTATTGATCGTTTTATCTGGATTTGGAAATGTCCTAGAGATTAAATAACAACCCTATATGTACCCAACAAATCAGAGTTTTTAGGTTTACCACATTTTATTATCTACTACAATGCTACTAGCACAAATTCAACAGCTACTCAATCGGTGTAAGGGCTGCCATTAGATCTTTAAACGCAGTTGCACAGACGCACTTATTTGAGCTCCGAATCTTGTTGTGGGGAAAAGCTTTTTTTGTGTGGAATGTGGGCACATATACAACTGATATACCCAAAAAGGTAATATGGTTCGGACCACAAAAAAATTGAAAGCTGATAAAGGGCCTACAAGCCGAGAAATCTGGAATCTCCTGCAGAGCTCCCAAAAGTCCACATGGGACAAAATGGTGCTGAGGGATGAAGGTTTCTCTTATTCTTCAGAGGATATCTCTTTCGACCCAGGAGAAGGGCCCTCCTTTTTCCATAGCACCAGAGGGCTGGGAACCGGTCAGAGCGGTCCTGAACTCCACACAAACATCGCGGCCCATATAGCCCATTTTGAATGGAAGGCACCACTTTGAGGATCACCCTGCTGGAGGTAATGTCAAATATCCATGACTCCAGACTGTACTCAGTGGAGCAGAAACCTGAGGAACTCCAGCAACAACAACTCAATACCACTGAGAAAGTTGATGCTATGGACGGTCAGAGGAGACGCTACAACTTAAAAGTCAGGGAATTACCGGAGACTGTGGGCCTTACTGACCTACTGCACTTCATCTGTTAACAGTCTTGATACCGCCAAACTGGTGAAGTTGGATAGCATGTTTCAAATACCAAAACCGTTGACCGCACTAGTGACAGGGTGGTGGGTATAAATAAATTGGAGTTGAGGCAATGGATATGTGAGAGGTGTTTTTTAAATGTGAGGGTTAAGTGACAGGGTGGGGATTAAATGACGTGTGAGGGTGTAAATAAATGTGATGTGAGGTAGGGGTTAGATGGCACAAAAAGGACACAGCGCATTCTCTTTGTCTCTGTGTCCCTTTATTGAGAGACCAAGGATACAGCAGTGTTTTGACTGGTAACACCAGTCTTTGTGCTTTGAAATGTTGCTGTACACTTTGATAGTTAGAGCAAACAATTGTTCCAGTGCATACAAAAATATAGATGACAATTAAATTAGTTACACCAACAACAGATAAAACCAAAAGGGATAAAATAACAGAAGTCCTAATCACTTACTCAGGTTTTCAAAGTAAAACTTCTGCCCAGGTGGTCTCTGGTAAGAAAGGTGGTGACTCACTTAGATTCTGGCCCCCAAGCAAGTTCAATACACATTTCAGTATCATTGGATATATACCCTGTGGATTACCAAGCCTATAGGTGGAGTTAAGGCGTGTATATATAGAGACATTAAGTGATCACCCCCTTGTGATCCAAATAGACACTTTTGTCTCCTCTTTTGTACTTGCCACAGAAATAATAATCGCATCTTTGAATTTGTTACCATTTCTCCATTCCATAGATATGTCACGCTTCTTACTTGTGACCCAATATAGCGGACATCCCAATCCCTTCCCATATGGTTAAGTTATGCCAATCATGTTTGGGCTTGTTTAGAAGCTGGTGCATGTCCTCCAAGCAAGTTCAATACACATTTCAGTATACCTTGTGGATTACCAAGCCTGGCCTAGAGGTGGAGTTAAGGTGTATCTATGAATTTGTTACGATTTCTCCATTCCATAGATATGTCACACTAGATTATGCCAATCATGTTTGAGCTTGTTTAGAAGATGGTGCATGTCCCATTCTAAATATAATAAAAATGAGGCTTAATTATTATTCTGTGGGTACATATTAATGTTTCTTTTGGATATGATACTTGAACACAAGGCTTATGATCATTAACATGTCAAAGAAATTAACTCATCAATTAAGAGGCAGAGGCCATATGGCTGAAGTCAACTAGTTTACATCGGAACTAGGCATTCAGGCATCTCAAGTGTAAAATCTCACACCCTGCAGAACTTGGATCTAGATATCCAGGCATCTCCATTGTAGAATCTCACACCCTTCAGAGCCTTTGAGTAATCAAAGGATCCATCCATGTTGCAAACCATCTGCCCCCTTTTACATTCCTATGCAATTTACATTACCCCTTCTGTCATCTGATCTCTACCAAGTGGTCAATTGATATATACAATACACAAATTACATTAAATGGCAATATTCTGTTGTGCATTAATGAATTATGCACCCTTGGCATGACAACCTGTACTCCTCATGATCTTCCAGCACAGCTTGCGCGCCCTGTGGTGATGCTGGGACCCGGGTTATGATGTCACTCCAGCATCACTAAACAGCAGGCAAGGGAGCAGTGCTGGAAGAGCTCAGGATTACACAAGCCCCACACTGGACCCCAGGGAAAGGATCCACTCCAGCTCTCCCAGAGGTAGGGAAGTTGGGTGGACTTAAAAAAAAATTATTTGTGAGTGTGTGTGAGAAAATGTGTCTGTGTCTGTCAGTGACTGTGTGTCTGTCTATGAATGTGTGTGTCTGTCAGTGTATGTCAAATCCGTGATTGTGTCTGTCAGTGTGTGTCTCAGTCAGTGTGTCAGTTTTCTATGTGTGTGGTGGTGTCCTCTGTGTGTAGATGTGTCTGTGTGTTAGTGTCCTCTGTGTAACTGCATGTGTTTGTCAGTGCCCTTTGTGTGTAACTATTATTCATTATATTTTCATTTTGTAACTTTTATACTTCAGATTAATAGTTCACACTCCTCCTTACATTCACAATTTTCACATTATACCATATTTTTAAAAAATATATTCTTTAATCAGGCTTGTTCTCCAATATGGGATTAAAGGAAATATCATTGTCTACATGTTTCATTTGGAAATAACATTCTCGAGGCAGGGGTGCGCAGGATTTTTTTCTACCCCTGCAGGGGCACTGCTCTGTAAAAGGTTCAGAAACACTGATCTAAACACACACAACCTCACAAGCAGCATTCATAGAAACATGCAAAACACCACAAGCAGCCTCCTCCCACACATACACACCGTCTCTGTCCATGTCCCACATCATCCAACCACCCATGAAATCACATTCACCACGCAATCATACCCTAAACTAATTGCATTCACGCATCTAAATATTCCAAAATCACATACCTCATAGTGCCATTCATTGAGGAAACAGTCCTGTCTAGAGTCAAGCCTAAAGGCAAAACCATATTTCTAAAAATGAACGAGTCTACTGGAAACCACAAAAGGCACAATTCAAATGTAATGGATACATACACAGGATTGGAATGCATTCCCATTCCATCTACCGCAGATCAACGCACTGCGTTACCCGACCATTCCATCTACCGCAGATCAACGCTGTGCATTACCCGACCATTCCATCTACCGCAGATCGACGCTCTGCGTTACCCGACCATTCCATCTATCGCAGATCAACGCTGTGCGTTACCCGACCATTCCATCTATCGCAGATTGACGCACTGCGTTTCCCGACCATTCCATCTACCGCAGATCGACGCTCTGCGTTACCCGACCATTCCATCTACCGCAGATCGACGCTCTGCGTTACCCGACCATTCCATCTATCGCAGATCGACGCACTGCGTTACCAGACCATTCCATCTACCCCAGATCAACGCTCTGCGTTATCCGACCATTCCATCTACCGCAGATCAACGCTCTGTGTTTCCCGACGATTCCATCTATCGCAGATCGACGCTCTGCGTTACCCGACCATTCCCTCTACCGCAGATCAACGCTCTGCGTTACCCGACCATTCCATCTATCGCAGATCGACGCACTGCGTTACCCTGACCATTCCATCTATCGCAGATCGACGCACTGCGTTACCCGACCATGGATTACATGGAGATATAAAGGGGAATATCGACAGAGGGCAGATGGAAAAGGATTTCAGTTGTTGAGAGTGGGTTATTGATGGGCAGAGGAAGAGGGTGAGATATCAGTTTGAGGAAAATAAAAGGGATTCCCTCAGAATGAGGTACAGGAATGGGGCTGTCAGTGGAGAGTGTGATATCAGGATGTGGGGTAAGGGGACGAGGTATTAAAGGAACACTATAGTCACCTAAATTACTTTAGCTAAATAAAACAGTTTTAGTGTATAGATCATTCCCCTGCAATTTCACTGCTCAATTCACTGTCATTAACCCCTTAAGACTGGAGGGCGTACAATTACGGTCTATTTTAGGCGGCTCTAAACGCCACCGGGCGTAATTGTACGCCCTCCGGTCTTTCTTTACTTACCCGGTCTCCGGCGATCGTGGTGGGGGGAACTCCCAGGGAGCCCCCCGCGGCACGTCCGACCCCCTGGAAGCCCCCCGGCCATGTGAGAATGGGGTCCTTGCAAGGACCCCACAATCACATGGCCGGGGGTAGCTGCCTCCTGCATTGCCAGCAGGGGGGCTGCCTGTAATGACAGGTGGTCTCCCTGCTGGCTGAAAATAAAATTAAAATAAATTAATGAAAAAGTGTGTAAAAAAAATATATACTTAGATCATATATATATACTATATATATATGATCTAAGTATATATATACACATATACATACACACACATACACTGTCTAGGTGTATTTTACTATTAATATATATATATATAATTATATATATATTAATATCAAATTACACGTAGACTGATACTGATTAAATATATATATAATTATTGTTATATATATATTTATATATAATATAAAAAAATTAAATATGTAGATACGTTAAAAAATAAAATTAAAAAAAATAATTAGAAAAAAATAATTAAAAAATATATAGATGTGTGTTATTTCGTTGTAACCGTATTGTGATATTAATATATATATTTATATCAAAATACACATAGAACGAAGTAATATATATATATCTACATACATAAATATATATGTATACATCACTATATATATATACAAATAAAAATATTTTAAAAAATTATATATATATATATATATATATACACATATAGATTCACATACGTATATATATACATATATTAATTCTACATATATATTTATGTAATATTTTTACATAATTAGGTATCTTAATTAATTACAATTAGCGGGACCTGCCTGACAACCCATGCCGAAAGGGAATTTAATTTGCTAGCACTATATTTAACCCTATAACTTTCCAAGACACCATAAAACCTGTACATAGGGGGTACTGTTCTACTCGGGAGACTTCGCTGAACACAAATATTAGTGTTTCAAAACAGTAAAATGTATTACAATGATGATATCGCCAGTAAAAGTGAAGTTTTTTGCATTTTTCATGCAAAAACAGCAGTTACACGGACGATATTATTGCTGTGATACTTTTTACTGTTTTGAAACACAAATATTTGTGTTCAGCGAAGTCTCCCGAGTACTACAGTACCTGTCATGTACAGGTTTTATGGTGATTTCAAAAGTTACAGCGTCAAATATAAGGCTTGCGTTTCATTTTTTTCACATTAAAATTCGCCAGATTGGTTACGGTGCCTTTGAGACCCTATGGTAGCCCAAGAATGAAAATTACCCCTATGATGTCATACCATTTGCAATAGTAGACAACCCAAGGTATTGCAAACGGGGTATGTCCAGTCTTTTTTAGTAGCCACTTAGTCACAAACACTGGCCAAAATTGGCGTTTTTTTGCATTTTTCACACAAACAGATACTAACGCTAACTTTGGCCAGTGTTTGTGACCAAATGGCTACTAAAAAGACTGGACATACCCCATTTGCAATACCTTGGGTTGTCTACTATTGCAAATGGTATGCCATTATGGGTGTAAATTTAATTCCTGGGCTACTATACAGTCTCAAAGGCAACGTAACCAATCTGGCTAATTTCAATTTCAAATGTAACGTGCTATATTTGACCCTGTAACTTCCCAAAACGCCATAAAACCTGTACATAGGGGGTACTGTTTTACACGTGAGACTTTGCTGAATACAAATATGTGTATTTTATTGCAGTAAAAGCAAACCGTATTATGACATTGACAGTTAAAATGTCATGTAGAACTAAAAAAATCTAAACAAATCTTATTTTCTCCCATTTTTTTCATATTAAATTATGTTTCATAGCTAAATATTTGATATTAAATGAAAGCCCTGTTTCCCCTGAATAAAATGATATATAATAAGGGTGGGTGCATTTACTATGAAAGAGTTGAATTACGGTTGGACAGACATGTAGCGCAAATGCCAGGTTTTGTATACATTTTGTTTCGTTCACAACGTGTACATTTGGCTCCGTCCTTAAGGGGTTAAGAGTTAAATCACTTTGTTTCTGTTTATGCAGCCCTAGCCACACCTCCCCTGGCTATGATTGACAGAGCCTGCATGAAAAAAAAAACTGGTTTCACTTTCAAACAGATGTAATTTACCTTAAATAATTGTATCTCAATGTCTAAATTGAACTTAAATCACATGCAGGAGGCTCTTGCAGGGCCTAGCAAGCTATTAACATAGCAGGGGATATGAAAATCTTAATTAAACAGAACTTGCAATAAAGAAAGCCTAAATAGGGCTCTCTTTACAGGAAGTGTTTATGGAAGGCTGTGCAAGTCACATGCAGGGAGGTGTGACTAGGGTTCATAAACAAAGGGATTTAACTCCTAAATGGCAGAGGATTGAGCAGTGAGGCTGCAGGGGCATGTTCTATACACCAAAACTGCTTCATTAAGCTAAAGTTGTTCAGGTGACTATAGTGTCCCTTTAATTGGGAATGTCTGTCTGTCTATCTATCTCCATGTAATTCCATGTTGCTGTCGCTAGGTGGAGCTGTCCGCTAGCTGGCTCACTGTCTCTCTCACATCCTGTATGTGTGTGAGGTGCAGTTGCGGCCGGTGCCGCGGGGGGCGCTGTGTTCGCCGTGCGGTAGCGGTAGGAGGTGCAGGGCTGGGAGCAGCCGCAGTAAGTCGGGGACCGGGAGCTGAACACACCGAGCTGGAGCCCGGGACATGCTGCGGACACAGCACGGCCATCCGGAAACCTAGGGAGAGCGGCAGGGAGCGGGCGGCCCTCCCGGAGACACAGCCCGGCCCCCAGGGACAGGCCCACCGCGGACATGTCGGGGAAAATCGAGAAAGCAGGTGAGGGGCCCGGGGTGTCTGGGTCCGGGTCCTCCTGTGGCTGGGTGTCGGCTAGGGGTGCTGGGAGCTGCTGGCTGGGAGGGAGCCGCCCTCGGCCCCGGGCTACCTTTACTGACAGAGCCGCTCCCTGCACCGCCCCAGGGGCCACATACTGAGAGAGGGGCCCCTCCTGAGTGCTACAGGGGGGCTGGGGGCCCCGACGGAGTTTTAGAGGGTATTAGGGGTGACTGGAGCATTGCTGGAGTATTAGGGGGTGACTGGAACATTGCTGGAGTATTAGGGGGTGACTGGAGCATTGCTGGAGTATTAGCGGGTGACTCGAGCAATGCTGGAGTATTAGGGGGTGACTGGAACATTGCTGGAGTGTTAGGGGGTGACTGGAGCATTGCTGGAGTATTAGGGGGTGACTGGAACATTGCTGTAGTATTAGGGGGTGACTGGAGCATTGCTGGAGTGTTAGGGGGTGACTGGAGCATTGCTGGAGTGTTAGGGGGTGACTGAAGCATTGCTGGAGTGTTAGGGGGTGACTGAAGCATTGCTGGTGTATTAGGGGGTGACTGAAGCATTGCTGGTGTATTAGGGGGTGACTGAAGCATTGCTGGTGTATTAGGGGGTGACTGAAGCATTGCTGGTGTTTTAGGGGGTGACTGAAGCATTGGAGTATTAGGGGGTGACTGAAACATTGGAGTATTAGGGGGTGACTGGATTATTGCTGGAGTATTAGGGGGTGACTGGATTATTGCTGGAGTATTAGGGGGTGACTGGATTATTGCTGGAGTATTAGGGGGTGACTGGAACATTGCTGTAGTGTTAGGGGGTGACTGGAGCATTGCTGGAGTATTAGGGGGTGACTGGAGCATTGCTGGAGTGTTAGGGGGTGACTGGAGCATTGCTGGAGTGTTAGGAGGTGACTGGAGCATTGCTGGAGTGTTAGGGGGTGACTGGAGCATTGCTGGAGTGTTAGGGGGTGACTGGAGCATTGCTGGAGTGTTGACTGGAGGGGAGTGAGCAGTTATTGCTGGTGTATTAGGGTGACTGAAGCATTGCTGGTGTATTAGGGGTGACTGAAGCATTGCTGGTGTATTAGGGGGTGACTGAAGCATTGCTGGTGTATTAGGGGGTGACTGAAGCATTGCTGGTGTATTAGGGGGTGACTGAAGCATTGCTGGTGTATTAGGGGGTGACTGAAGCATTGGAGTATTAGGGGGTGACTGAAGCATTGGAGTATTAGGGGGTGACTGGATTATTGCTGGAGCATTAGGGGGTGACTGGATTATTGCTGGAGCATTAGGGGGTGACTGGATTATTGCTGGAGCATTAGGGGGTGACTGGATTATTGCTGGAGCATTAGGGGGTGACTGGATTATTGCTGGAGGTTAGGGGGTGACTGGATTATTGCTGGAGCATTAGTGACTGGATTATTGCTGAGCATTAGGTGGAGCATTAGGGGGTGACTGGATTATTGCTGGAGCATTAGGGGGTGACTGGATTATTGCTGGAGCATTAGGGGGTGACTGGATTATTGCTGGAGCATTAGGGGGTGACTGGATTATTGCTGGAGTGTTAGGGGGTGACTGGATTATTGCTGGATTAGGGGGTGACTGGATTATTGCTGGAGTGTTAGGGGGTGACTGGATTATTGCTGGAGTGTTAGGGGGTGACTGGATTATTGCTGGAGTGTTAGGGGGTGACTGGATTATTGCTGGAGTGTTAGGGGGTGACTGGATTATTGCTGGAGTGTTAGGGGGTGACTGGATTATTGCTGTAGTGTTAGGGGGTGACTGGAGCATTGCTGTAGTGTTAGGGGTGACTGGAGCATTGCTGGAGTATTAG